GGCCTTGAATTAGGCCCTCGAAAAGTAATTCTACTTTGACGTCTCGAATTTTTGCTTTGATTCCAAGTGAGGAAAAGGGGATTAACACGCATGACATAATTTGACTATGAATGCCCAAAAAAGAATTTATTCTGGCTATTTACTTTGCATGCAGTCTTGCATAGGTTTATTTTTATATCTGTGACATCTTTATTTGCTGCTGCCTCTTCCTAAAAACAATAAGCCCTTCCTGTGCTTTTACAGACCATTGTAAGTAAACAATTCTCCTTTTGGTTTTAAAATTATCTTTTGCACAAGAAACATTTGTCCTACATAAAAGCCAGTAAATTAAAGAGGACGTTGAGTGGGAGATACGTCTGTGTATAATATATTACAGAAAGTTTTATAACTTCTTACATAGTGACTTCTCTACTATTTTATTGTTGTGGTTTACAGGCTATTCTGCAGTGATCCAGAAGTCAGAAACTTCTCAAGAACCATATTGAAAAAGAAAATTGCAACATGCATTTGATGTTGTATGTAGATCTGGACCTTCCATACTTTCAAGTCTATTCTTCCACATTAGTTTCTTTAGTTTATGTACAGATTTTCAAAAGAGATTGAACATGGTAGTACACCACCTTGAAGACCTGTCCCAAAACCTATAAAAATCTTGGAAGCTTAAAAAACCAAACATCAGAAACTTGGAAATCCTGTCTGTATCTAGGACCTGACCTAATATTCTAGGCTATCTCTTTTTTGAAAGTTTTCAAAACCACTTGAAAAAATCTGAAGAAAAATGTTGAAACTGTTTCTGCACAAGTCTTACTCCAACTATATGGGACCCTCATAATAGTTGGAGAAAATAAAATAGATTTAGCCAAATTTTTAGCCAAATAGCTGTTTGTGAATGATTGCTCTTTAGGGTGTTTCTTTTTTCCTTAATCCCCACCACCACCCACCCAGTTTCATCCTTCTATTCTTCCTTCCATTTGCATCATTCCGCAGCTAAACTACATACTGACCCTTCTCATTTTCAGCCCACATTTCATTAAATATAAGTCCTTTACTCATGTATTCTCTCACATTTTAACAACTGTAATTACAGTCTTTATTTTCCATCTATCAGGCATGAAAGGGATAATTCTGCTTGGTAGAATAAGGTGACAAAGAACTCTTCATCTTCCATTCTCCTTTCTGCCCATGTGGAAGTGGACAGACATCTCTGATCTATGCTTTGTGCTTCTTACAAATACTGTTCCAGTTTTCCAGTTTGAATAGCTGCAGGTTTTTTGTGCAGGGAGAGACATGAAGGCAGGCCTGTGCTTAGAAGAGAGACAAAGGGTTATGAGACCACTGGAGATCAGTTTTGTTCTGAATTAGAAAAGCCTGATAGAAAGACAGCCGGTGAGCAGAAACAAGGCAAAGACAGGCTGACAGAGCCAAGCAGATTGTTGATCTACAGAAGCAGTTATCAGAACGACTTTGTGAAGCACATAGAGCAAACAGAACATGCAGGACTGGGAACAGAGAAATCAGGCAGTGAGCCTGGATGAGAAGACAAGATGCACTTTGGCCAATTCCACAGGTTTGTGCTCAGGGGTTGTCAGCACAGATGCAGACCAGAAGTGACAACACAGATACTAGCCATGGAAACTTGACCTTCTAGTGCTGCTATCAAAATCACAGTGGGTTTTTGCTGACTACTGGAAAGTAGCTTCTGAAAGAGCCATGCTCTCTCATACCAGCCAGCCTGAGCAGGGGGTGGGTCCTGGCAACATATCAGGAATTCAAACATACTGCTTTATAACTATCTGTGACTTTTCAGCTCAAAAATCCAGCTTAACATATCTGTCATGGCTTATCACAACATACTCTGTGATAACATACCAACAGAATAACAATAGTCAGTCAGCACTGGTATTTTATCAAGAATGTCTTTCAAACATTAATTAGGTGGGAAAAGGGAGAGGAGAGCTGCAATAACCTGATACATTTGAATTTTTTAATTTTATTTTTGCTGTCTTTAAATACATTAATCAGCTTTTTACTTTTTCCAGGTTTTTCCTCAAGTACAAATTCTCTGGTACAAATTATCACATACTGTGGTATGGAGTCTAAAAGCTTTTGCAGAATTAAAAGTCACAAACACATGCAAGCCCGGAGCACAAAAGTTAAAACTAGAGGGTTGTATGGGGAAAAGAAATGAAACATGAAGAAGTATGTAAGGGGGCACTGGGGCAGCCACAGCCCTGGCATTGGGGACCTCCCTGAGGATTGGGATGGGCCAAGACCAGCCGGGGATGTGGACCCAAGGGTGGTCTGGCTCATCAGGGCCATGGATCATGGCTGGGTAGAGTAAACCCTGCATATGGATCTAAATAATATATATATATGCATATAAATAAATATAAAAAATATATTTATTTATAAACACCAAACTGTGTCATTTTACTCTAATCTGCCCCACGGGATCTATTACAAGAAGAAGAATCTATTAATAGATCAGGGACAAGTCATAAGAGGAACCATGCCCTCTCTCAGTTCCCACTGCTGATGGGGTTACCACAGCTCCCCTCACAAGGGTGCCAGCTCTCAAGCTGGCTGCTGTTGATCCCTGGACTGTGCCTTTTCCACGTTCCTCCACTGCAAATATGGATCCAAAGACTGCTGTCTGGGTGTGTAATTACAGATTATTGTCATGTAGGAGAAAAGGCATGATTTACCGTTTCATGCTATAAGTAAAAATGAATGGTTTTGATCTCTTTATCTGCCTGCTTTCAGCACTATCTTTTTTTCTCCCAGTATCCCCACCACCAGGTTTAGAGGTTATGTGTTCCCCATACTCTCCTCATATTGGCTCCACTGCTTTGCTCTCAGAGACTTGGGTGCTCAGAGACAGAGACTCCTCTGCTCTAGCATGATTTTTTTGCCCTGTGGTACATCACTGACTCATGCTCATGCTTTCCTGCATGCTTGCTGAGCTTCCAAGTGACAGAGCAGAATTTATGTACTGTGTAATGTGCACGAGTCATTTTCTATGCTGGCAACTGCAAAATAGGTGGCTATTCTCACTTGGCAACCTGTGCTGATTTTATTAAGAATTTTACTTTAGTGTATCATAAGTTACTTAATTGAGAGCAATTATTCTTTTAATTATTCTCTCTCTTTTAATTTTTAAAGTGTTTGGCTTTCTGATATCTATCATATGCTGCTTTCTGAAATTTTGCTATTCAATATGTGATCTTGAAATAAATAAAAAGATATATTAACTGTTTTTATTGTCTTAAGAGGGGGAACTTGATAATTTATTGTCTCAAAAGTCCACTCCTTCATTGCATGGATGCAGTAGGGTGTTGGCCACATGGCATGTGGTTTTTATTGGTGTGTGTCTCACAGGAATCATCTATAATTTAGGTTTAATGAGCAGGCATAATAACTCTCTTATTTTTGCTAAATGTCTTCCTGACGTCTGTACTACTTGAACTTTCACTTTGTCTGCTTCTAACTTGATGTTCTATCTTAATTTACTTGGTCTCATGGCATTATTGTTATATTATCAGTGTGCCAAAAACTTGGTTGTGCTATTTTTCTGTCTCTTTATGTACACTTCTGAAGAGGTCTTTGTGCTTTTCACACCCGTTGATGCCCACTGTTCATTCGTATACTCTTTCTTACTCTGTTCTGCTGCCCTGTCTTTGCATCTGGTGTTAGTCTGAACTTCACAGTCCATTTATTTTTTTGCTCTTTTACACTTCACTGATGTCATATACATGCAAAGATCTCTGAGTCACTGACTTCTTTCTCATTATGGGGGCATTTTTTTTCTTGTCTGCTATCCTTTGCATAATGATCCTTCAGAAGTTTCGCACATGGTCTCATGTAAAGGGAATTTCATTATTATCTTTTTTCCCCCTCCTCAATAACTGTAGGTCTTTGGATTTTCTTAATCTCTTCTGCTTTGTATTTGTATATCTTTCTTCACTGAATTTTCAGTAATTTTTTCTGCTTTCGTTTCTCTACCCTCTTAAATACCTTTGTGACAGCTTTGTTTGTGTTCTCTATTTGGATGTGAGTTTCTTCACTAGCTGTGCACATCTCTGGTTCTCTGTAGAGTTAATGGGATCTCTAAGCATTCACATTTGAGTGCCTGGATTTTTGTCCTGTCATTATTCTATCACCAATTAGTCCAGCCCGTACAGTTTGATAATTGCATGAATCAGTCATCTTTGTGTAGTTTGCCAAAGCTCTGACCCATTGTTCTGCATTGATGGTTTTTGATTTATGCAAAAAGGAGTCTTTCATGTAACAGGATTTTTAATGAATTGAAATGCTCAGGAGCATTAAGATTTATCCCTGCCTGCTGCTGATGTAGTGGGATGCCACTGAAGTATAAGACGCCCTTCACCCATAACAACTGTACCAATCTGCTCCCCTTGTAGCTTTTTTCCTTTTCCCCCTTTCTAGAATCATGACAAAATCTATTGTTTTCCTTCTATGTTTGAGTAGTTCTATGCATTATCTCTTTAAATGTCCATGTGCTGAGGCACTGGACTACATTGCTCCTCAGCTTATTATTTTGGTTGTCCGTAGGATCACTTTGAATTTCCTATAATTGTCCATAAGCACAGACTAAGATAGTCAAAACAGGTCCACATTCATATATTTTTCCTTCCTTCATGTGTAATGTCTTCAACACTCACAAAGTTGAGTATTTTATCCTGACAAAGAACTCTACATTGTTCTGACAATGTTACTCTCACCTTTCTTTCCTCTCCATCTCTTCACTCCGTTACTGGACTCTAGTCACTTGTTCCTTATCCCCTGGCTCTGTTCTGAATCTCTCACCATTTTGTATTGTGGTATCTTTGCCTCATCAGATCCATGCCCCACTTATCCATGCTTACCAAATCTGTCTCACCTGTCCCTTATGACATCTTTCTGCTGGTTTGCAGGTTTGCTGCTTCTACCCATCTTTTTGCTCCTCCTCCAGTCACCTCTTCTTGCCATATCTACTTACCTTATGTTTTGTTCTTTTAGATAGATTCCTGTTCCTTCCTTGGGATCTGGTACATGAAATGAAGTTGGGGTGGCAAAGTGTTGCTTTATCCCTGGAAAAATGGAACAGTAGTTTTACCTGTTGAACCCTAGATGACCTCTACTATACATATGGAAAATGGAATGATTCCCCCAGCACCAGAAGCATCTGCCCAATTCCTGTCTGGAGAGATGGGACAGGCCCTGCCTGCTTCTCTGCTGTCACTCACCTAGGGGACCTCTGCCACTCCCAACACTCATCCCCAAGGAGCCACCACTGGTAATGTGCTCAGGCCACCATTCAGGCAAAATAAAATCTCATAGGTCCTGCATCAGGTACTCTCCATGCTTTTCATACTGGCAAGTTAAACAGAGTGAGGACACAGCCTGGAGCCCTCGCCCAACTGTTGAGCTGCCATCCCTGACAACCTCATTTATGAGGGGTGGGAACAGAGCAGAAGGACAGTTTTAACTCTATGGAGGTGAACCATAAAGCCTGTTTCATTTACCACTACCATGATGTGCCACTCAGGTGGGAAAAGTTCAAGCTGTTTGTTCAAGGGGAGGGAACTCTGCAGCAAAGTTTAAATACCTGTGACTACAGATAATTTTTAAAGACTGGTGCCTGTTACTCAATCTGCAATGTTAAGTATTTGATGCATGGTACACAACACAGGTATGTACTTACCAAGTTTTGCAAAGCAGCCTTACACCACAAAATAAATAGCAGCTCAGTCACAGCCCAAGATCTTCTGCCAGCTAGTACTCTTTCTGTCCTTCTATAACACAGAAATACAAAATGTAAGGCTAAGGGACTTTCCACCACACTGCCAGGGCAAGGGGATAGAAAGAGTCTAATAACAAATCCTCCAGAACAAACATGAATACATGTTCACATTTGTTGTGTTGGACACTTGCAGAGCGACCTCACCTGTCTCTCCAAACAGCAGGATTTCACATAAGCCAAATGTGTAGTTTTTCTCCTATATTCTAATAATATCCACACTAATGAAAGCAGAAGATCTCTTAAGCAGAGATCTCTGATCTCTCTCCTAGGAGATCAGAGTCACTCTGAAAATAGGCAAGAAAAGAGGACCATGAAGAAGCCAACAGTGGAATTCATCTTTCCTAATTATAAGCATACAGAAATTACACATGTCCTCTAAACTGCTTGCTTACTCTGCTCTTAGATTTATAGACAGCTATCTATGGATGAGTTAACTGTCCTAGAGGCCCCTATTTCTTCCAGGTGATTTAAGGGGGAACCTTATAGTCAGTTTAGAGTACAGACTGGCCATTTTTCAAAAGGAAGAATCAGCAAAATCCAATTCTCCTAATACCAGTCAGAAGAACGAGCTAATTAAAATTTATTATCTACTTCCAAATGAAAGGTGGAAAAGCAAAAATTTGCAAGATCCCAGAATGGTCAAGTTGGAAGGGACCTCTGGAGGTGATTTGGTCCAGCCCCTTGCTCAAGCAGGTTGCCCAGGATCATGTGGTTTTGTAGTATCTCCAAGGATGGAGACTCTACCTCATCTCTGGGAAACCAGTGCCACTGCTCAGGCAACCTCACAGTAAAGAGATGTTTCCTGACTTTCAGGTGAAAACATCATGTCATCTTTCTTGTATTCCAAGAGATAATAATAAATAATCATAGAAATAATCATAAAAACCATGGGTCAACCGCTTTGTGACAAACTCCCTGTAACAAATAATGGCCTTGATGGAACAGGGTTGTATTTGATCAAGCCTCAGTTTTTTTCTTCACTGCCTAGTGCACCAATGTATCACAGCTGATTGTTCGAAATGCTTGAGGCAACTTGTGGAGTTCATGGGGAGTTCATGCCATAGTAATTTATAAGACTGTTTATGAAAGAAATTTTGCACTGAGCAAGAAGAGATTGAGTAAAACAGGACAAATGGCCTGATTAAAGACAACAAGTAAAACCAGAGCAAACTCTCAGGGAAAGGAAAGAGACCACATTTACTACACATGCTCTGTAAGAGAATGAATTTGATGGCAAGTGAAGGTAGATCCCTTTAAAAGGAAAAGTAATACATTTATATTCACAAAATCTCCTATATGAGGCAACCCAGTATTAAATTTGTATTTTCACTGGCAAACAAGACTGCAACATGACTGAGAAGAATAGTAGGAAAAGAGAATAGTAGGATTTAAGGTGTTTTTCTGAAATTCACTTTCATTTGGTCTTTAGCAATAAGAAGCAATGCCTTCAGTAAGTCACGATTAAGAAAGGGGTCCAGACATGCGAACTAATAAAAAAAACCCCACAATGCCTTGGAAACGGTCGTCTCAGTAGGACTACCAGCAGACAGCTTCTCAGAAAATATATTTCCAAATAAGTCACCAAGTTTCAAAGGCTTGATGGAATACTTTCACTTAATCTTGTATAGAAATGAGATCTTTCTTAAAATGGGCTGGCAAATTCCAGACATTACATTTTTTCCCAATACCAAATGACTCTGCTTTGAGGAGTGCACAGATACACTCCTGAAACTCTTCTGCCTTACAGGTCCATCTTGACAACCTAAAAAGCAGGAGCACATGGCTTAGCATGTGGTTGTAATGGTCAGCTTGAGTGATACTCAGGTAGAGATCAGATCAGTGCTGGGACAGCTCTTCTTTTGTTGCTTATGATGCCCTTTGTCAAAAAGCAGCTAATAGCTGTTAGGTTCTAACTTTTTAAAAAAACCCAAAAGTCTTAGCACAAAAATTGGATATCAAAGAACTATAACAATGGAAAATGTACCCCAAAATTTAAGGAGGACCACAAAACTGATGAAAGGGATGGAAGGAATGTCTTCTGAGGAGCAGCCAAGGACTTTGGGTTTTCATAGTTTGAGTAGAAAGAGGTTGGGTGGTGAACACATTGCTCTCTACAGCTTCTTGAGGAGGGGAAAGGGAGAGGAAAGTGCTGAGCTCTTCTTCCTGGTATCTAGTGATAGGACATATGGGAAAGGTTCAAAGCTGTGCCAGAGGAGGTTTATACTGGACATAAGGAAGCATTTTTATTACAGAGGGTGTGGTCAAACACAGGAGAGGACTTCCTAGAAAGTTGGTTGACGCCCCAAGCCTGTCAGTGTTGAAGAGGCTTTTGGACAATGCAATTAATTATATATTTTCACTTTTGATTAGCCCTGAAGTGGTCAAGCAGTCGGACAAGATGAGCATTATAGATCACTCACAACTTAAAATAATTTATTGTGTTCTATTCTATTCTATTCTATTCTAAAAAAGCATTCTTCAGACAGTCCACCAGTCTGACGTGAATAAAACATGAGACAAAAAGCAATAGATGACGAAATAAATCTAACATACGCCAGCACAAGATGAAGCAAGTAAAAAGCAGTAGCCAGTCCCCAAAAGAAAAATCTGATATTTTTTGCAGCATCTTGCTATATAAACAAAGGTTTTGTACCAAGACACAGAAGATATTATTCCCCAAAAAAATCTATTGAACTGTTGTGGTTTTGGAATGACATTCCCCAGTCTAGCATTCTCCCCAGTTTAGTGTTCCCCTGAAAACACTTTAAACCATCTGCTGCTCATTAACTTCCTTCTCCCCCTCCCTCTCCCTCTGCAAAGGCCTGGAGAGAATTGGAGGCACAAAAGCTAAAAATCACTTGTGTAGATAGGAAAAATTTATTAGAAACAATGAGATGAGAAATGAACAGTTAACAACAGCAATATTAATAACAGAGTGTACAGGAGAGGTGAACAATTCACACACAAGAGCTCAACATGCAGAGTCTGGCACTACCCTGACCACTCACCCTTGTGAGCTGGGTTAATTGGTCCCAGAGTCAAGAAAAACACCATGTATTCTGTGGAGTGATCTTAAATCCTAATCTAGTTGGGCATGACAGCTCTGTAGCAGAATTTTAATACAAAGAATCTGTACCTTTCAGCTCAACACTTCCTGAAATTTTCCCAAAAGTGGAAGCAAAGCACGGAGATGCTGAAGATTAAGACGAGTGTAATGAGAAAACAGCTTTTAATGGAGACAAAAATGTCAATTAAAATGTTTACAGTCATAGCATTTTGCTTTTCATTTCTTCATGACAACCCAATATTTGTTCAAATAGCAGGGATACGCCAATTCTACAGCCTCAAAGGAACACAAGTGAGCAAATTCAAATAATACCATAGAAAAAAAACTATAATTACCTCAGTTAAAGAAAATTGGATCCCCCTGGATCACTATGTGAACACTCAAGGTATGGACACAGAAATCCTAAAACTGATAGAACTGAGTTTAATGCATTGCTTTCATTTTTTTTTTCCTCTAGTCATCATCTAATTAGAGATGACATAAGTGGGTTTCCCCATTTTTCTACACAGCACTTTCCCGTCATGCCAGAATTCCCGGTAATTGATACAAACCTGCTTCAGCCCTGAATTGTTATCAGTTACAGCCTGGTGAAATTCTGGTTTAAGTCCATAACAATCTAATATACTTTTGAAACACCAATCAACATCACTATTCAAAGTGAAGGGTAAAAGGGAAAATGTCAAGGTCATTGTTTCTGGCAAAAAAAGAACTTAAATATTTTCCCTCAAGATTAGATGAGCTCATATATGCTGGCAAGGAGGTGTGCAACATCAGAAATCCAGGGGTTCAAAACTGGAGGCAATCTGCAGGGGTCAGCAAAGAACAAATGTCAGTCAGTCAGTCACGTTTAAACACAAATAGACTGCAGCCAACTTCTGTGTCATTTATGGAATTTGCCTTTCACCTGCATGCCTCAATGATCACAGCACCTTCCCTTTCCTCCTGAAGGAACAAGGATAAGATGAGGTAGTTCACTCACTTCTGCCTAACTGAAGAGTCTGGCAAAAAAAAGAACTGACCAGGGCTGACACATGTGGCCAATGTGCCATCTCAGAGCAGATGATTCAGCTGAACACGTGCTCATGATGGATTGGGTGCTTCACATACCAGAGCCAACAAAAGGTAAGATCAATGAGAAAATAAAACAAACCCTGAGATCAGCTAAAAGTTGTACTTCATGACAAAATCCAGAAGTGTTAAGATGTGCACCCAGCCTGGAAAGAAAGCCTTTTGCTCATTTAGCATAACCATTTAATTTTGAAATAGACTTAGTCTGACTGTATGTGTCCATATCATGGTCCATAAATATCCTGGCTTGAAATGGATCTCTCTATTTTGTATGGGTATCTCTTTATTAGTAGCACTATAACGAGTGTGATTATTGTCTCTATATTGCAAATCAAAACCTCATGTTCACAGTGACACTACAATGCTACAATCTTTGACTTTTAAAATCTATATCTTTCATTCAAATTAGTGATTCTCTCTACTCAGTAGGTAAAAAAATCTTACAAAGAAAATTCAGATACCTGAAGAGGGATGCAGATGTTCTCTAAATTAAATGATTTTATTTCTTGTCATAACTACAGGAGTTTAAAAGTACTCTTAGAAGAAGAGACTTAAGATTATTCTCTTTTGCATAAATTTGTCTGCATTTACTGCATAGCTGCTACTGAGGAATATTCTTTCACCAATAGACATTTTAACTTTTAAGCAAGTCAAGAACTAAAAATATAGGTGTTTTGATAAAAGCCCAAACATTACACATATTAAAACCATCTTTTATTCTTAGAAATCGAATATACATTGATTAGAAGTTTGAGGTTTAAGTTTTATTTTACTTTCCTGGCATTTCTTAAACTGATTGAGGAACATCAAAAAGCCTACCAAATCTATCAAGTAATTAATACAAATGGAGAAAGGAA